TAGATATAGCCAATCTAAACCCAAAGATTCCATCCTTGGCCACCAAGTTGCATCTAGGGTTCATTTGCATTTCATTTGGAGTGCATTTGCCTACTCCAAATGCAACCCTAGATGCCTCCCCTCCTATAAATACCCAATGCACCACACCTTGTAAATACTTTGGATTATATAGATTTTGAGTGAGCATTTTATGCCTCAACATCTCTTCCTTAGTCACTAGGTTAACTTCGGCTAACCCCCTTCATTCTCCACCCTTGGAGAGTGAAACCCTAGAGTGGCCTCCACCTACACTTGGAGTGAGCCAACCTTGAGCAACCATACACCTTTCACCATACACTTCCGCCATTCAACACTATCTCACGCCTAGCTTCCTTTTTCACCATAAACCTCCCTTTTGTCTAACCTTTGGTGAGCCTAGATCATGGGCAAGGTGTCTCCCTTCAACACACCATCATCAACCATAGAAGGAGAGACTCCATCATAGCCCGTGCCATGGAGATGATGGCTATGGCTATGCAGCAACAAAATGCCTATTTTGCTTGGATGGATGCTGATAGAGTTGCAGCTAGTGCAGCAAGGCCAATGGGGTCACAGGAGAGTCAGGATCTTGCTGAGTTCTGGAAATGTCATCCTCCGCAATTCAAGGGAGATGCAGATCTGGAGGTAGTTGACCACTGGATATGTGAGCTGGAGAAGATTTTCACTGTGCTGGGATGTTCTTAGGAGAGGAGGCTAGCATACGCTGTTTACATGCTGGTAGGAAAGGCTGAGCATTGGTGGAGGGGTACTCACCACATGCTTACTACTAGAGGAATTATTGTTGATTGGGAGTGCTTCAAGGGAGTGTTCTTGGATAAGTACTTTCCTGAGAGCGTGAGGCACGCCAAGGAAGCTGAATTCATGCGGTTGCACCAGGGAGGGATGACAGTTTCTGAGTATGCGATGAGATTCGAGCACTTGGCTCGTTTCTATTCGCAAGCTATATCTGAGGCCTAGAAATGCAGGAAGTTTGCTGAGGGTCTGAAATATGAGCTGAAGAGGGTGGTGGTGCCTATGGCCATCACTGAGTTTCCGGCCTTAGTGGAGAAGGTGAAGGTAGTGGAGCGGTTGGAAGGTGGCAACCGTATGGTGAAGGCTGCTGAAGGACCAGTTGGGTCCAAGAAGGGAGGAAAATAAAGGAAACCATATGATAGGCCCTAGTCACAGCAAAGGGGTTTTGTCATTAGGCAACCTTCTAGTGCTGCTAGTGGAGGGAGACAGGGTGGAGGTGCTGCCCTTAGATGCTATAGGTGTGCTGGGCCCCATTTGATCAGGGATTGTCCACACACAGTGAGCCGGTGTTTCAGGTGTCAGCAGATGGGCCATGAGTCGTTCAACTGCCCCACCAGAAACAGACCGAAGAGGGGTGCTCAGAGGAGTGATGTGCAGAGAGGTGATGCCCAGAGGGGTGACAGACCCACTACAGCTGGTAGGGTATTCGCCTTGACGGGTGTTGAGGCTTTGACTTCTTCTGATCTTGTGAAGGGGAAGGGCAAAGCTGCTGGTAAGGATGTGATGATTCTTTTTGACTCTGGAGCTTCTCACTCTTTTAATTCATATGCTTGTGCTGCTATGCTGGGTGTGCCTGTGTGATTTAGGGTTGAGACTACTAGTGTCGACGCCCGCTTCTGCTTCGGTAGTTGCTTCTAAGCTGTGTGTTGGTTGCCCTATTATTGTGAATGGGAAGAGGTATAAGGTGAACTTGATTTGTTTGCCTTTGGTTGATATTGACATAATCTTAGGGATAGATTGGTTGTCTGCCAATCGTATTCTTATAGATTGTGCCAATAGGAGGTTGATCTTTCCTCAAGAAGAGGAGGAGCTAAGTGGGTTCCCTATATATTCTGAACCCGTGTATTCATTTGAGTAGTAATGAAAATGAATTTTCTCTATTACATTTTTATCTCCCTTGATTTTATCTAACATGGTATCAGAGCTTTCTGATCCTCCACCAGAACCCTAATTTTTCTTCTTCATCTCTTCTATGGCAACTTCAAATAATCTCTCTCCCTTTTCACAATTTTTCTCCAACTCCATAGCTGAAAAACTTGATGATTCGAATTACCTTCACTGGAGGCAGCAGATTGAACCAGCCATCAAGTCCCACAAACTTCAACGGTTTGTGGTTAATCCGCAAATCCCACCTCGGTATTTGACCAATGCTGATCGTGATTCTGATATCGTTAATCCAGCATATGAAACCTGGGAAGTCCAGGATCAAATGCTTCTCACATGGCTGCAATCGACGCTCTCGAAGACCATCCTCTCACGTGTCATTGGCTCCGTTCATTCTTATCAAGTGTGGGACAAAGTTCATGAGTATTTTCATACTCAAACCAAGGCACGTGCACGTCAACTACGCACTGATTTGTGTTCCACCACTCTTGATGGTAAATCCATGCGTGACTTTTTGACTCAAATAAAAAACATTGCTGATGAACTTGCTGGAGTTGGGAGTCCTGTGTCACTTGAAGAATATGTTGATGTTGTTCTTGAAGGTCTGCCTCAAGAGTATGCACCTGTGGTCTCTGTTATTGAAAGCAAGTTCGTCACCCCTCCTATTGCTGAAGTGGAAGCTCTTCTCCTTGCACATGAGTCACGAGCTAACCAGTTCCGTAAGCAATCTTTCTCTCCTTCTATTAATTACACTCAGGGTTATTCTCGTGGCAGTTTCAGTGGTGGATCTTTTAGAGATAGAGGTAGTGGTAACAGTGGACGTCGCGGTGGTCGAGGTTCGGGCAGAGGCCGGTAGTCGATTTGCTTCAAGTATGGCCATACTGCCAATATTTGTTTCTATAGAGTTGATATTAATTATCAACCTACAGAATCCCTTGTTCTGTATGATCCTACCACATTGCAGCCTGTGCAGGTCACCCCTTCTTCAAACCTTAAAGCCTCCAACACTTGGGTGAATCCCAATCAGAAACAGCCCAGCCAAGATGCTCATGCCAATGTCACACCAAGTGCTATGATTGCTAATACCTCTTCTCAAGCATGTACTCATTCTTCATGGATTCCTGATTCTGGTGCTTCGTTTCATGTTACTGGTGAGCCTCAGAACATCCATCAGCTAGAGCATTTTGATGGTCCAGATCAAATCTTCATAGGAAATGGTCAAGGTTTGCAAATCAATGGTTCTGGTTCTTCCTTCTTTTTATCTCATATTAACTCTCAATTTAAGTTTCAGCTGAATAATCTTCTTCATGTTCCCCTTATCACCAAAAATCTGTTGAGTGTTAGTAAGTTTGCTAAAGACAATTGTGTTTTCTTTGAGTTTCATGCTGATCATTGTTTTGTCAAATCTTAGGAAACCAATGAGGTTCTTCTTCAAGGTATTGTTGGTGCTGATGGGCTTTATTCTTTTCCAAATCTAAAGCTCCAAAATCCCTCAGCATTGGTCTCTTCTTCAGCTGAAATGTCCTCTCAGTCTGCTGTCTCATCTACAACCCCTACAGTCTTAGATAATATCAATTTAAATAAAAGTTATGATGTATATAGCTCTTCCACTATGTGGCATACTAGGCTAGGTTATCCTAATTCTCATGTTCTTAAGCTTGTTCTTACACAATGTAACCTTCTTCCATCAAATACTTATGTTACTAAATTTTTCTCATCTTGTTGTGTTGGAAAGTCTCGTAGACTTCCTTCTTCTGCCTCTCAAATTGTATATTCTGCTCCCTTGGATTTAATTTTCACTGATTTGTGGGGACCATCCCATATTACATCTTTTTCTAGTTATATTTACTATGTTGCCTTCATTGATGTGTTCTCTAAATACACCTGGATATATCCCTTAAAATAAAAAAGTTGAAACTCTCTCTATTTTTCAACAATTTAAGGCTATGGCTGAACTTCAATTCAACACCAAAATTAAAAGTGTTCAATCTGATTAGGGAGGGGAATATAGACCCTTTACTTCATTTCTTGCCACAAATGGAATAGAACATAGATTAATTTGTCCCCACACACATCATCAAAATGGTTTGGTTGAAAGGAAACATAGACATATTGTTGAAATTGGCCTCACCCTTCTTCATCATGCCTCCTTACCTCTGCAATTTTGGGATTTTGCCTTTACCACTACAGTTTATTTTATCAATAGATTGCCAACTGCAGCATTAAATTTTGATGTTCCTTTCACTGTTTTATTCAACAAATCACCTGATTACAAATTCTTAAGAACATTCGGTTGTGCTTGTTTTCCTTTCTTAAGACCATATGCCAGTCATAAACCTCATTTCAGATCCCTGGAGTGTGTTTTTCTGGGATACTCAAACTCTCACAAAGGTTATAAATGTCTCTCTTCTTCTAGCAGAATTTACATTTCAAAAGGGGTCATTTTTAATGAACATAGGTTTCCTTACACAGATTTGTTTCAGCCAAGTCCTACTCAAAATGTCTCTCCATGTCCATACTTCACTCTCAATCCGGATTTGTCTTCTCCTTGCAGTACTTCTCCTGTTTTCTCACAGCAGCTTCCTCTGTCTTCTCAAGTTGGTGATCCAGGTGTATCAACCACTCCCACAGTGTCTTCTTCACATAATGTGTCTCCTTCATCTCATGAGTCTTCCTCACATAATGTATCTCCTCCTACCTCTTCTACTGACACTACAAGTATTCCTAGAACCATTAATAACCATCCCATGCAAACCCGGTCTAAATCTGGATTTCATAATCCTCGATTACATCCATCTCTGTTCTTGGCTCATAGTGAACCTAAAAATGTTAAGCAAGCTCTTGCTGATCCTAATTGGTTCTCTACTATGCAACAAGAATACACTGCCTTAATGCACAACCATACTTGGGATTTAGTTTCCTTGCCATCTGATCAAAAAGCAGTTGGTTGTAAATGGGTTTTCAAAGTTAAGGAAAATGTTGATGACTCTATAAATAACCTTAAAGCTCGGCTGGTTGCAAAAGGTTTTCATCAAGTGCATGGCTTTGATTTTCATGAGACATTTTCTCCTGTTATTAAACCTATCACTATTAGAATCATTATCACTCTTGCTCTCACCTATAACTGGGACTTATTTCAGCTGGATGTAAATAATGCCTTTCTGAATGGCAATTTAGAAGAAACTATTTACATGGTTTAGCCTCCTGGCTTTGAAGCTGAGAATAAGAATTTAGTTTGCAAGCTCAACAACGCTCTCTATGGCTTGAAACAAGCCCCTCGACAGTGGTTTGACAAATTGAAATTGACTCTCACTCAATTTGGTTTTCAAGCTAGTAAGTGTGATCCATCTCTGTTTTGGTACAAACATCAAACTCATACCATCTTTATTTTGGTTTATGTGGATGACATCATTATCACTGGCAGCTCTTCTTCCCTCATTCACCAAATCACCAATCAACTTGACTCCATATTTTCTTTGAAGCAATTGTGAAGCTTGGATTACTTTCTAGGTACTGACGTTAAATACTTGCTTGAAAAATCTCTGGTTCTGACTCAGAGCAAGTACATTCGGGACCTTCTGTTTAAAACCAATATGGCTGAAGCTCATGCTGCTCCTTCTCCTATGTTCTCTAACTGCAAATTGTCCAAGTCCGGGAATGACTTCTTTCATGATCCCACTCTTTTTAGATTTGTTGTTGGTGCCTTACAGTATGCTACACTCACAAGACCTGAAATCAGTTTTGCTGTTAACAAAGTTTGTCAATTCATGGTTAATCCTCTTGACTCTCACTAGGTGACTGTCAAACAAATCCTAAAGTATTTAAAAGGCACACTCACTTATGGTCTTCATATGCAAGTTGCTGTCGTAGGTGGTCCCATCTCTCTTACTGCTTTATGTGATGCTGATTGGGCCTCTGATATTGATGACAGGAGGTCCACTTCTGGTTGTGTTATCTTTTTTGGACCTAATTTGATATCTTGGTGGTCCAGGAAACAGCGAGTTATTGCTCGATCCAGCACAACACAGAAGCTGAATACCGTAGTATAGCTCAAGCTTCTGCTGAGTTAACTTGGATTCAAGCTCTTCTGTAGGAACTTAAGGTTCCCTTATCTACACCTACTTTACTCTGTGACAATCAAAGTGCAGTGGCCATTGCCCACAATCCTGTCTTCCACAGCAAAACAAAGAACATGGAGATTGATGTGTTCTTTGTTCGTGACAAAGTTCTCTCCAAGCAACTTCTGGTTTATCACATACCAGCTCTAGATCAATGGGTTGATCTTCTTACTAAGCCTCTGTCTACTGCTCGTTTTGAAGTTCTTAGAGGCAAACTCAATGTGCGAAGTTTTTGTGACAAACCTCCACCTTGAGTTTGAAGGGGGTTGTTAGTGTATATTAAATTACAACAAAAGGGAATATTTGTTTGTTAGCCTTTATTTACTTTTTGCATTCTGTTATATCTTTAGGATATCTTCAAAATCTTTTAGTGGACATCTGTCCAGCCACCTCTCATGAGTTTCTCTCTCTGCTGATTGTTTTTACAGCTATTTTTATATTTTTCTCTCTTTGTTGTAATTCAAGTGGGTTCCCTATATATTCTGAACCCGTGTGTTCATTTGTGAGTAGTAATGAAAATGAAGTTTCTCTATTACATTTTTATCTCCCTTGATTTTATCTAACACAATGTAACCCATATTTCTATTTGAATATCTATATTAGAAATGTCTTTGAAACAGTTGATTAAAGCACTATGGAAAAGCCAATGAGCTCAAACTTATATTATGGTATATATAATTGCAAATAGGACATTGATTATCTACCAATTATACATGATTGCATAAACTGCATAGCTTTTTTGATGTTAAGCTTTAGTTATCTATGGTTTTGTTGTTTAAAGTTCTTAATGCATAGATCAAATTTGCAAATTTTTAAAAAATTTAAAAATCATTTGATACTTTGTTTCATTAATTCAAATCAATGTATAAAATGATTTTATGATTATCCGTCAATTTGAATTAATAAAACGAAGTATCAAATGATTTTCAAATTTTTTAAAAACTTTAAATTCAACGGTTGGATCGTTAAAATTTGATATAGAACATGAAAGGAAGGGCATGACTTGTAATCAATTAGTTATAAAGAATAAGGGAGAGGATAGTCACAGTGAGAGTTTGAGATCGTCTTTGGTGAGGGGAGTCTTATGGCATGGGATGATAGAAACCATTCTATCAGATTATTTTTTTCATTTCCTTGTTCATCAATATCGATGACAGTATTATGCAGTGAACTTTACATTTCTGAGCCTATCAGAAACATGTCCAGAAATGGAGATGGAGGCTAGAGGCAATGAAGAACATGACTGAATACACTTCTAACTGCCAGAGGGAGTAAAGGACAGTTGGAAGACTTTTTAAAACACATTGGAAAAATGCTTGGCAGAGGAGATCAGAAATTAGAGACATGTGTATGTGTTAGGACTTGCATGAGATGTCACAACAATGGTTAGAGGTCAAAAATAAGATGGACAGTGGAAAATGTTTTTCTTACAGGAAAGATGACTAATATGAATGTAGAATCATAAAATAAAGTAGAAGTCCAAATTTTAGGAAGCTAGGCAGTGTATTAGTAATGGGGCAAGTCATGAGATGTTGAAATTATGGGGTTTTAGGTAGTAAGAGAGGAAACACTAAACAAAAAGAGTAGAGACTTAAGACTTTGAATATATTTTACTGTGTATTGGGACTAATCACAATCTGGTTATATGTACACAAAGCCTAAGGCGCTATATTTTATTTATGCCAATCATAATCCTAACTAAAAACGAAATAAATCATTAGATAAGAAAATATTGTAACCATTCTAAGACATAATGATGAAATAGGGAAACTAATCCTAAAAGATGATCTCAATTATTCTATGGTATGATCAAGATAATAATGAATATTTTCATATAATCTAGAAACACCTATTGACTACGAAGCATTTTAATGAAGGGTAACTGAATGCATATTATGGCAGTATCACAGCATCAGCCACTTCACCCTTTCATCTAACCCTTTTAACCTCAGGCTATCTGAGGCTGGAGCGCTGGAGGTCTGTTTTTGACCCCTTCCAGCTCCTAGGAAGCCATACTAGCCACTTTTGATGTCTGTGCTAGTGTGTGTTTGGTTTGGTATTCAATGAACCCAAACCCACATTTGATGTTTCAACTGGATTTTTATGTAAAAAATCTTGTTTGGGAAAAAGCTGCTTTTATGTGATTTTGAGGCTGAATTTGATTCTAGTAAAAGCAACACTTATTTAACTTGTGTTGGGCTGAGAATTTCATACTAACTTTTACTACGAACTTGGTTTTGAGATTAAACTTTCAAAACACAAATCATTTTACTTCAAACTCAATTTTAACCAAAATCAATCATGCAAAATCAAATATCATAAAAATTGAGTTTGTAAATGCTCACCCAAATACACACCTAGTAAGTGGATTTTTTTTATTTGTTTATTTTGTTGGATAAGAATATGTTGAATAATAGTTAATGTTTGTACCTTAATATTACTTTGACACTTTTCATCATTCTTTTAGAATCAAGTTCCAGAAGGAAGATGAATGGATGATCGATCCAGTTATGATATATAGCTGATACATATGGACTAGAGGTATCACTCTTCTATTAAGGGTTGATGAATTTAGTCATTTTAAATAACTATGGAAATAATAATTTTGACCCTTGCTCTAAAGAAAAAGGGAATATTATTGGCAATTTGGCATTTATACTTGTTATAAATAGACCATATCATGTACATAGCACATTATATTTACGTAGTCATCTTTCTCAAGGGAATCCTATTTTGCATTTTCCCATGAAGAATGCGACTGAACACATGCTCTGCACTCCGCAGTCTATTTAGATAAGACTTTTGGTATTCATGGCTCTCTCAAGTAATATAATATAACTCCTACAAATTAATTTGGGTATAAGTTAATTTTAATTTTTGAGGAAACCTATTTTATTTTTTTCTTTTATTTTCTTTTCCTAGAGCAAACCTTGATACTGTAGTGCAATGCAATAATAAGTGTCTGAGGATCCTAAAACCACTAGCTAATATATATTAATTACATTTTGTGTTTTTAATATGATAAAATGTTGGTTTCAAAAAAATATGATAAAATATTCTCCGTTCTCATTGAATACTTTGCACTTTTGTTTCCTCAATTAGCGTTTTATGGAAACCTGTTAATGTCATCACAATTTTGCCAGTTATGTGTACACTTCAAAGTATATATAGCATATAGTATATCGTTTATATTTGATGCTCATTATAATAACCTCAAATCAATTAGACTTTGTTACTAAACAAATATGATGTTCAGGGTCCTATTTTACATTGGATGGAACTGGAAGATGATCAGATGATCAGATGATTGATGTTGATAAGGATCTAATCCCTGCTGGTATTTGAAAGTAACAATCCATTTCATTGAAGATTTAGTATGTTGAAACCTGTTCATGACTCTTTCCATCTTCTGTCCAATCCTCTCAATGAATTTTACTCATTTTTTCCCCTTCTTATTGGAGGAAAGGTGGGAGCATAAATGAGAAAAAGGGAAATATATGTACAAACATGAGCATGTCAAGTAAATATTTCATTTCATGAAAATAAAAATTAATATTGTCAGTCTCATTTTATTTGAAATGAATTCCCTTGTTTAGATTGTACTTATACTAGAAGCTATGTAGGACGTAAAGAATTTTTTTAGGTGGGAAGATGTAAAAATAATTTTGTTCAGATATTATTGAGTGTTTATTAACATTTTTTTAATTGTTCTAAAAAAATTAATTTTTAATTATCTTACTATTAATAAAGGATATTGGTAACTGCTTTTCATGACCACTTTTATGTGGATATATTTGCTCCTATATAATTCAGTTTTATGTTACTTTTATGTAGTTAACATTCACTGTTGGTAACCATTTTGCTATCTCTATAAGTTCTGATTAAATGTTTTTATCTTATTTTTATTTTAAAATAAAATGCACATGATGGAAGTCTTTTTAAAAGAGATATGCCATGAAGTTATAGTTTGTTTTTGGTAATTTTTTTTAAAGGTATTATACCAACCTATTTCTGAAATAAATTAAGGGAGTATATTAGGCCTAATTTGTTGATGTAATTTGATGCTTTTATGAGATTTAAATTAATAAACTATGACTTGAATGTGTCAAAAATAGTTTTTAAAGTTTAGCTTAATAATATATTTCTTCTAATAAATAAAAAACCAATTGAGTGTATAATCTAGTGTAAATAACTACAGTTGAAATGTCTAACGAACAAGTCATATGTTTTTGTCCTAATAATTTGCTAATCTAAAGAGCGAAAATTAATAAATTAAACACGCAAGATGTTATCGTTTTAATTAGATAATAACAATTTTTTGGGGACTTAAAAATCAATTTGAACTTCAAAAGTTCTTGTGAAATTGATTTATTGTCTGAGACCCTAAAATTAGTATATGTTTATGCTCGAGACCGTGAATTATATAAAAGCTGAGGCATTTTTGTTGAAGTTAAAAAAAAAAAAAAAAATCTCAAATGCCATGAGAGATGGGAAAAGATCTAAACAAGTTATGTCATTGATTATTTATCAAATAGTTAGGTCCAGATTCTTAACGAAATTTAAGTTGGATCACCAATAAAGGTGGTTCATTGGTCATTAGGCATCACAATTAATCACCATTTCTAGGAATTCTATAACTTTTGTACCTCCTCATCTAACCATTGTCAAATAGGAATGACCTTCTCTCCCTCTACCTCACCACTACAACAACCAACCTATAAACTCTCAACCATATAAATGATAACGATAGAAAAACAAGGTTAAGTCTTGATTATGTAATGAATGAAATTAGTGAGTGTCTATGCAGTAAGGGGAAGGATTTGGACAAGTGACAAATGATCATCGTGCGGAAACATTCTCCTATTATTGTAAAGTAATTCTGTTGCTACTTGGAATTCTTCTGTCTATTGCCTTTTGCATGATTCAGCAATAATACATCGGTGCAATGCTATCATTTACATTACATAATTGTTTCTTCCTTTTGTCACGTATTTTTTATCATAACAATTTATTTTCGTGTATGTTATAAATATTAATTTTTTATAAGATTGGTAAAATATTAATTTTTTATTCTTTATAAATTATTAATAATATTTATATTCATTATTAGTATTATTTTTATTTACTTGATATTTTGTTGAAAATTGTGATTTATATAATTATTTTCTTATAATATTAATCATTATTTTATTATCATTTTAATAGAAGATGTCTTATATTAAATATTAATTATAATATTATTTTACTGTAATTA